GACACTATCCTAGACACAGAAAACACCAACAACAACAGATGAAGACAAGCAACTTGATGAAAACATAAACCTTCCTGGATGCACAATTTGCAGCCACAAAGGAAATTAAGAGGAAGGCAAGGCATGACTCCGTGTATAATAGGGCATGGCTTACTTTTTTCTTTTTCAATTTTGCGAATATCAATAATGGAAGCACTTACTCATCTGCTTATTACGTTTTATTTTCCCTTTTTTTAAAAAAATTTGTGACTTAACATCCTAATCATGCTTACCATACATGACCCAACAACATAATTTAAAAATAAAAAAAATGAGAAGGTAACAGGAAAACCAAGAAATATGCTGTTAGCTTGAGAAACTGAAATTAGGAGGAAGAAGAAGATCTGAGATAAGGAAGAAGAAGGGGGAGAGAGATCTGAGGAGACGGGAGAAGATAGAGGAAGAAGAAAAGATGCAGATGGATGATGTACCCAGTGGCGAGCCAGAACAGCGCGGCCGGCCCCCCTGCTCTTTTAAAAAAATTTTAATTTAGTTCTCAAATTTTGTATTTTAGGAATTTTATCTTTAAATTTTATTTTGTTCACTTAATTTTACTAAATATTTATGAAAAAAATTATCATTGATTTTTTTTTTTGTAAATTTTGTTGTTAAATTTAAAATAAGATGTTGGCATAACAATTAGTAACTCTTTAAGGCTAATTTATTAACTATAAAAATAGCTCTTTAATCTCTAATATTTTTAGTTAAAAAAATTAGTAAGAAAATTTTTAAATTTTTAACATTTCTTTGTCCTTTCTTGAAAAATCTTAAATTATCACCTTTATAGTGCCTAAAATTGACCTAAAATATTCACTGTAATTACTAATAATATCTTTTTTTTTCTTGGTCAAAAATTAAAATTTCACTTCTAATTCAAACTTTTTTATTAAGTCAAATTTGTTTGTTTTATCTTATTATTTGCTATATAAATTTTTTATTTATTTCTAAATTTATTACATTTTTTAGATGTGTTTTATTACGTATTTTTTTCGCCACAAATATAACTCGATATTTATTCACTATTCACCAAGATTTTTGAATGACAATGTATTTCACATTGAATATGGCCAAATTTGATTTTGAAGACAAGTTTACACTTTACAGCTTTACAATTATTATTATATTTCCTTTGGTCTATCTTAATTATCCAATTTCATCAACTTTATGTTAATTAACTTAATAATTTTATATAAACAAATTAATAAAAATTGAATTTTTTTTTTAAGTGAAAATATTCAACAAATATTATGTTTGAAAAAAAAAAAAAAGGGTTTTCAATTGTCATCACTATTTATTAAATAAATCATTAAATCGAACTTTGTATAAAAGTCAAATTAATACAATTAAAAGACTAAAAAAATACTTTGAACACAGATTTCATTTAAATATCAACAAAATTAGCCCCCTCATCTCAAATCCTAACTCTGCCTATGGAAGTACTTGAGCAAGGCATCGAAGAATCTGGAGTTAGAATTCTAGTCACTGATGTTGGGGGTTGGAGTTATGGTTGAGAGAGACGAGGCAAACATCACCAAGGTTGGGGATTTTTAGGTTAAAGTAGCTAGACAACCCCACGTTGTGGGGTGTAATAAATGGCCTAATTATTTGCAATTATCGAATATGACACCTATTATCATTGAACATATTCATAGCGCTAACTCCTCCACAAACGAAAGGCATAGAACCTATATAGAATCAAGTTTAATTGAATTAAAATAACAACAATAACACCAACAAAAATAGCATTAAGAGTCATGGATCAATGCACCGTCACTTATAGGTGAAAAAACAAATCAACTATTTGTTAGCTAATATGATAGAATAAGTAATAGAAAAACAATGAAAATAACAAAAGAAAGCTACATCTTTGTGAAACTCGTGTAAATGAGGGAGATGACATATAGTTTCTCCAGTAACTGGGGTTTCAAGACAGAAAAGCACAAGCTTCTTCAAAATTATCAGTCCACATGACAAAGAAAATCAAAAAGTAGAAATACTTAGCAAATGAATCGAAACACCCAACTCAGGAAACTCACTTATTTATTCTCAAGGAGGAAACTTAAAAAGAAGTGTATTTAGATTATTTTGCTTTCTTTATCCAGACATGTACCCACACTATTGATTGTGGCACACTATTTATCTAGTGAATAGAAGCACGGCCATGTTGATGATTGTTCTCATTTAGTGCTAATAACATTTTATGATCATTTTGCAAGAAAATAAAGAGTAAGCAAGAAAGACCTACATTTATTTTCACAGTTAACCTTTTTAATTATATTGGAAATAGTATAATTGAAAACAACATATGAAGAGCTTGCTAGAACGAGATGCTAAAAGAATAGAGAACAACAAGGTAGATTATAGAAATAACAAAACTATGTAAAGATCTTATGTGGTTGTAAATACATTGTCTATTCTGGCCAATACAAAATAATATCCTCTTTTATTTCAATATCTTACTTTATATTTAACCTAACAGTTATAGAAGGGTGATACATCATGGAAGTAGCTCCAATTTAGATCTACATATAGTCACTGTGTGGATAATTCAAAGACACTTCACAACTCCAAAGTTATCGCATCGTTGCTTTACTTTTTAGTGATGACTTAGTGCATATGGCTATTTTAAGTATGAACGCCTTAGTCAAAATTCTTCTTCTCATTTTATTCAAACTCTCTTAGACTTCCTTTTTTGTGATCTTGCTAGTCCAAATGTAAAATTTCTGGTTCATTTTCTAATACACTTCACTTTTGACACCTTGATTTACTTTTGCTACTCTTACTCGTATTATTTTGCATTTCCAAACCAATAATGTAGAAATCAAACTTAACAGTCTAAAAAATTTATCATCGCATAGAAAAAGGTCCTTCCTAAATATCTAATAAAATTAACTAAATGAATCAAATAAAAATGTGATTTGATTCTCAATTTAGAAACTATTATTTGCTTCACTGAGTAGTTTATACAAATAGAGTCACCTTCCATGATTGACACAACCACTATCAAGAAAAATAAAACAATGTTTTTGGATGATTTATGCAATTATGTAAGCGCACAACTAATGTCATTCTTAAATCAAATAGCTATAAGAAACAAATATATAATTGAACATTTTGCCTAATAAGGAAAATGAACGAAATAAAAGCTCAATTGCAGTCTGCCTTCTATAGGAATTAAGAGAATAGCTCTTTGCAAGCCCCTAAACTTAGTGCAAAGGTACAAAAAAAGCTAAAAAGGAATTGAGTGGTTACTCTATCACCAATTTTAGAATCTTATTGTAGTTGTTTTCAATAATTAATGTGAAGACTAAAATAGGAACAGGAAAAGCTAAACATCAAAGGATATTGTATAAGTAGCAACTTGTGTGAGGTCCAATCTCTTGTTTATCATAGAAAAAAAAATTAAAAAGTCTTTCTCATTTCAAAACTACTCTAGATTCTGGCATGTGTTAACCAAGAAAAATGCAGAACATTCACAATCACTTACAACATCTTGGCTGTGCTGCACTGGGGCTTAGATGTCTCCAAGATAGTAATCAAATTGAATACAGTTCCAAAATGCATGTACATAAATCTCAGCATATAATGGCTTTGCTCCTAAGGAAGTACGTTGAAAAAAAATTAAGATACTCAAAAATTGGCAATAATAAGTATCAATAGTGGAAACATTCTTGATCAAAAGAAGAACATCTTCACAATTCAACATTCAAATGAGCATGTATAACCAAACACCATAATTTGAAAGCATATAAACATAACATAGTCGACATATAAACAAAAAAGAAAAAAAAAACTTTTCGCTCTTGACTAGAAAAACTTTGGACTGGATCTCTCTAAGAACCTCAACATGCTTCTGGGCATTAAGGAAAATTGTCAACAACATACAAGGACAAAGAATTTAAAAGAAAAGAAAAGAAAAAAAAACAAATCTCGGTGAAAGAAAGAGAGAAAATATATCATAAAAGAAGAAAACAAAAATGGAAAATAAAAGAGATAGAAAATAGTGGAGAAAAAAAAGCGTTGATTTCTTATGATGATTTTGATGATAATAAAACCATTGTGAAAGAGTCTAATGAGTTTTGCGCTAGTATGTAGAAAATTAGAAAATTGAAAAGCCTTAATTTGATGCAAAATTGACCTCTGTCAATTCATTTAAGAATAAATCAAATTGTAGTTAAAGTTTTGCCTCAAAGATTAGTTCATGTGAAAGTACACATCTCAAGCTTTTTAACAAGTATAAGAACGTCCAAAACAGAGTACGAATGAGAAAGATATAGGTTCTCAAAGCTGGAAGAAAGAGCAAAGGAGTAATATGCTGAATATTGACCGGAGAGCTGCCTTAGATGTTTTGTAGCCAGCTCTATTGTTCAAGAATTCAAAATTGCAACTTGGTATGCGTGGGAAATGTATGCTAAGTTGGCTTTAACATTGTAGCTAGCTGTGATGGAATATTTAATGTTCAATGGTCAAAATTTCAAAGATTTTTTAATATTTTAGACTTAAAATTCTTAAGTTGGTTTTGGGATTTTTAGTCGGCTCTAAAGAAAAATAGAATATGCAACTCCTTTAAGATAGTGGCTTTAAAATGGATAGCTAGCTCTAAAGTTATAGCCGGTTTAACAATAAAATTTTGCAACATCTTTCTTATTGTTAAACTAATCTGCAA